CTGGATCTTCGCAATCTCTTATTCTTGCAGATATTCTGCCTTTTTCGGACAAATCGGTCTACTCAGGCTAATGTCCTTATTCAAGGAGTAGAATGTGGTTTGACAAGTGTACCTCTCCACAATGTTCATCTCAAATCAGACTTGGTCTCTGGGCCTGTTACTGTTGGTGTTAGGTCTTCTCTTCCTTTCAAAGGTGTTCATTTGCTTCTTGGTAATGATCTTGCTGGGGATAAAGTTGTGCCCTACCCTGTTGTAACTGACACTCCTTTGATTGATCAAAAATCTGACTCTATAGAGGAGGAAATTCCAGACCTCTATCCTTCATGTGCAGTTACTCGTTCTATGGCCAAAAAGGCTATTCAAGATGATGCTGCCCTGGACTTCAACCTGGCTGACACCTTCATTGGGCAGTCTTTTCATCAGGAACCTTCCAGTCCTGAGATGTCCGGGATATCTTCAGACTTGTCCTTGTCAGGTCATTCTAATGACATTCTGTCTCGGAAACAACATATTCAGGAGCAACCACAAGCTTGTGATCTAGCACATCTTCTTCCACAGGTTGTAAGTGAACAAGAGGCACTCAAGTTCCTGTCTGTTTTTACTACAAAAATGGTGTGCTTATGAGAAAGTGGTGTCCACCTGATGTTTCTGCAGTTGAAGAGTGGATGATCACCCATCAAATTGTTCTTCCAAAGTCTTATCATCAAGAAACTCTTAGTCTAGCCCATGACAATCCTATGTCAGGTCATTTGAGTATCAAGAAGACCCTTCAACGTGTCAGGAATCATTTCTTCTGGCCTTCCATGAGGTCCGATGTACAGGAGTACTGCAAATCCTGTCATACTTGTCAAATGGTTGGGAAGCCAAACCAGAATATTCCAAAGGCTCGACTTAAGCCCATTCCCGCTTTTGAAGAACGTTTCAGTTGAATCATCATTGACTGTGTTGGACCATTGCCGAAGACTAGATCTGGTTGTGAGTACCTACTGACTATCATGGGTGCTTCCACTCGGTTTCCTGAGGCAATTCCACTTTGTAATATCAAGGCGAAGACTATCATCAAGGCTCTTACCAAGTTTTTCTGCTTTGTTGGTCTTCCTAAGTCTATTCAGTCTGATCAAGGGTCAAATTTCATGTCTGGCATATTTCAACAAGTTATGCATGAGCTTGGTATTAAATAATACAGGTCATCAGGTTACCATCCTGAGAGTCAAGGTGCTTTAGAGAGGTTCCATCAAACCCTGAAGAACATGATAAGGACCTACTGCCTTGGCACAGAGAAAGACTGGGATGAAGGTGCCCATCTTCTTGTTTGCTGCCCATGAAGCTGTTCAGGAGTCTCTTGGGTTCAGTCCTTTTGAGCTTGTTTTTGGGCATACAGTCCATGGACCTCTGAAGCTTCTAAAGGAAAAGTTTCTGGCCAAAGATGATGTCCCAATGAACTTGCTTCAGTATGTCTCTGACTTCTGTAATCATCTCTCTAAGGCTTGAGACTTTGCTAAGTCTAATCTCAAAGAGGCTCAGGGCAAAACGAAAGCCAGATATGACTTTCATTCCCAAGATAGAAGTTTTAAAGCTGGGGACAAAGTCCTCACGCTTTTGCCAGTTCCTGGAAACCCTCTAAGAGCCCGATATTTTGGCCCTTACACTGTCCTCAAAAAGTTCAGTGATCTAAATTTCGTCATTTTAACCCCTGGAAGGAGGAAACAAAAACAAATGTGTCACATCAACATGCTGAAAGAATACATTGACAGAGACACTCAGCAAAAGCCAGTCAATGTGGTAAATACAATTGAACTGGAAAATGCTGAAGAAGATTGTGACTGCCCCTTGGAAAATTAACCTGGTCCAGCCAAACTTGAAAATTCTGACATTCTTCAAAATATTGACAGCAAGTTGTCCCACCTGGACCCTTTTCAACAACAACTGCAAAAGCAGCTCATATTTGAATATAGTCACATATTCCCTGACGTTCCATCAAGGACTGATATGGTTTACCATGATGTCATCCTACCAGATGATGCCAAGCCTGTAAAACAGCATCCTTTCAGAATTAATCCAGAGAAGCAGAGATACCTTAAACAAGAAGTCAAATACCTGCTTGAAAATTACTTTGTTGAACCAAGTAACAGTGACTGGAGTTCTCCATGCATCCTAGTTCCGAAACCCAATGGAACATATAGAATGGTGACAGACTACAGGAAAGCGACCGCTCTATCAAAAACGGACTCATATCCTATTCCCAGGATTGATGACTGCTTTGACAAAGTTGGACAGTCAAAGTATGTCACCAAATTTGATCTCCTCAAGGGCTTCTGGCAGATCCCTCTGACAGACAGAGCAAAGGAGATCTCTGCCTTCGTCACACAAGATGGATTGTATCAGTACAAAGTGATGCCCTGTGGAATGAAAAATTCTCCGGCCACCTTCCAACGTCTGGTAAACAGAGTGATCGCTGGACTACCAGGATGTGAGGCCTATATTGATGACATTATCATCACCAGCGACAGCTTCCAAGAGCACCTCACCTACATCAGAAACTTCTTTCAGAGAGTGAGTGATGCCAAGCTGACTATCAACCTTGTTAAAAGTGAATTTTGTAACGCTACAGTTGTTTACTTAGGTCATACTGTAGGACAGGGTCAAGTCAAACCAATTAATGCAAAAGTAAAAGTTATCACTGAATTTCCTGAGCTTACAACTAAAAGACAACTTATGAAATTTCTAGGAATGGCTGGCTACTACAGAAAATTCTGTAAAAATTTCTCCATCATTTCTGAACCTTTGACAAATTTACTGAAGAAAAATGCAAAATTTGTTTGGGATGAAAAATGTCAAAATTCATTTGACCAACTGAAAGCTATCCTCAAAAATGCTCCAGTTCTCTTATCTCCTAATTTCAAAAAGGAGTTCAAGTCGGCTGTTGATGCCAGTGATATTGGTGCAGGCGCAGTTTTACTGCAAGAAGACACTGTTGGAGTAGATCATCCTGTTTGTTGCTTTTCCAAAAGGTTTGATAAACATCAGAAAAACTATTCAACAATTGAAAAAGAATGTTTGGCACTTGTTTTGGCTTTACAACATTTTGAAGTCTATTTGACTTGTTCAGCTGCTTCCATCAAGGTCTTCAGTGATCACAATGCCCTCACATTCTTGCATAAGATCAAAAACAAGAATCAAAGATTACTAAGATGAAGTTTACTTTTGCAAGAGTATGATTTGGATATTTCTCACATCAGGGGAAAAGATAATGTTATTCCAGATGCACTTTCTCACATGTAATTTACTTTTCTATTTGATTGTGAAAATTGCACTGGTTGTTATGTATATGATTGTTATAATGATCAATGATACTTTATGTGTGGAGGTCCAAGATTATACTGATTATAAAACTGTGTTAATTTTAACAAAAGAAAGCTTTTAGCAAACCTTTCTTTTCTTAAAGAGGGGAGGTGTTATGTATGAGTATTTTGTGTACAGCACTGTAAATCATTTGTAAATGGAGATTTGTTAGACACTATTTAAATACCCATTATGACTGGTCAGCGATTTGTTATTTTGGTTATCATTTAGCACCCTCTGGTGGTATGTCTTTGAAACAGTCTATTTTGCATGGTCTGATGCAATACCACTTGTTTGTGATGAAATAGACTCGTGCTTTCTAGAAGCTTCTGGCATCCTCTTGCCTGGAGGGGGCCGGATCACCCAGGAATCCTGTAGATCTTTCCAGAATGTTGCTAGTCTATATAAATGCTGTGATTTTGAGTCTGTAGGAGCAGAGTTTTTGTTTGGCATCAGAGTTACATAGTGACATTAGAGTGTTATTATAAGATTACAGTGGATTATTTGTGGAAGTTTTTTTTTAATAATCAGTGAAGAATAAATTTGTTTAAGTTGTCATTGCTGGTTTTCTTTGTTGCGATTTTCAAGTCATAAGAGCGTGAAAAAGTGAGATTTGGAGAGCGCACAAGCACTGAACATTTTGAGTGGCAGAAGAAAAACTGACCATTAACAAGCCTGCAATCAGTGAAAGGAGAGCAGTCTTTCAACCCAAGTTTCGTGAATTAAGACAGATATGCAAAGATTTGGATGTACCACACTCAAAGCTCAAAAAGGGAGAATTAGTTGAAGCAATAATTGAAAAACCTCTGCTGTCAGAACAAATATTTGCACACGACAGGCTAACCATCCCCATTTACAGTGCGCTCTTTCTGAAATACCATCGTAATTGGATCACTTAAAATGTCTGAAAAGTAGGTTGACATGGTTTTCATTTCAGTGATTGCAATAATCATTTGATTTCTTTGTGATTTCGATTTCATAATGACTTGCTGTATATATAGCTAACAAAGTTGAATTTGCTTACCAGTTAGTTTTGTGGACGTGAATGAATGTCATTAACACCTCGATGATTGCGTCCCACGCCATAAGTCAGCTCATAGCTACAGTGTTCCTGCGAGGAATTTCCATTGTTCCAACAAGCGATAAGCAGACATGATCCTAATTGCCTCTCAACATGGATAAGTGTGCAGGTACAGATGTAAAATACAAGGCCAAAACATACCGAAACAACATCACTACTGTTTATTTTTATTTATTTATTTATTTTTTAAATTTGGCATTTCCAATCCCACCCGAATTGGAATGCCCAACTGATGAACTATGTACAAGGCTTGCTCGTTTGCGACCCCTTGTTGCCAAATTCAGGAGAGTGAAGACAGTTCACGGCTCTCCTCCGAAGCACGTGCCTGTCAGCCACTGCTTCTTATACACTCATTGGTTTAATCTTCGCAAGTTCAGAACGAGGGCGGAGGATACCCGGACATGAACAGGCTTAGAATCTTCCTGACGAGCGCTCGTCTGGCCAACAGGTGGCGCTTGAGCAACGAACAAAGCTATTTGTTTATTTCCCTTTCCCGGCAGTCCCTTCCCAATTTGAAACCCTGTAGCACAATATCCAATAGTGCGCTGCTCTGAAAAAGCTGCCGACCACTGCCGGTTGGTACGACCGGGGCTCGAACCCGCGACGGTCACTTCTGCACTGCAACGCAGTGCCTTAACCGAGTGAGCTATCGGGCAGTTCACATCACTGCTGTTTGACTGAAGGCAACATATTTGATTTCGGATTTTCATTTGTGCTAAAACTAACAACGTTGAGGACTTACCTTGACAATATCTCGGTGATATAGCCTTTTAAATCTCGTACGCTAGTCAATGCTTTCAGTTTGTAGAGAACAAATTGAGCCTTCTATATTGTCAGGAGAACACTAATTCCGAGCCCAACCTCCACTAGTCTTTTTGTCAGGGGAAAGAATTCGCATCTAACCAACCTCCATTTTTTTTTATTAGCCAGAATGATTTTAAAAGGGGGGCACCAATATATAATTTGCCATTATATACCACAAATAGCAGCACTAGAAACTAAACTCTAAATTTCCTTCACTGGATGTATACTTGTTATGTTTACATAGTCGAATGTTTCTCTGGGTACCCAAACATCAATCGATATTGGTGGAGGTTGAATACAGAATTCTTCATCTCGACATCCGGACACAAAATGTACGCTGCACACCCCAGAATGTTCCTGAACGAAAATTTGGAATCCACGCTGTAAGCTGCCTTTTAACACAGGGAAAGCAAAAGATATTATAAATCCCCTTTTTAAATGCGATTTGTGCATCTTCTGCAATACATAGTCTTCAAAGAGCATGCGTGCGACCCAAATCTCGCTTAAGCCGAACTAGTCTATTACTAAATTTGTTACTGACGCACTGCTTTTTTATCAGAATGAATCATGTGCCTCAGTCTACCTTGATTTGTCAAAAGCTTTCGATACCACAGACCATAGCATTCTTTCAAAAAAGCTCCACCTCTATGGTATATGTGGAACTGCCCTAAATTGGTTTGAGAGCAACTTGGATCAACGCACACAACACCTCTGCTATAAGTGTAAAAAATCAGAAGTGAAGTCAGTGAGTCTCAGCCTACCTCAGGGTTGTTCTCTGCTAATAATTGTTTATCACTTCCAGTAATGATATAAAAAGCATCATGGACACTGTAACGTTATTCTTTATGCTGACAATACCACTGTGTATCATAGTGGGCCAGATCTTGAAAAGAGGCCTTGCTATCATTTTTGACTGGTTTAGTACATATAAGCTCTCTCTAAATGCTGCTAAGACCAAGTTCATGATATTTGGAAATTGAATCATTTTTTGACTGGTTTAGTACATATAAGCTCTCTCTAAATGCTGCTAAGACCAAGTTCATGATATTTAACTAATCATGGAAGGGATGTTTAATACTGGAGCGGATGTTCGTCGCCAAATTCCTCCGCGTATATATTTATGAAAAATTGAATTGGAAAGCATACATTGATTACTGCACATAACAGACCCCAGTCAGCACTTCCATTCCAGTCACTATCTAAAAATGTTGTATTATAGCCTAGCACCCTAGGGAAATTCGTCTTAAACCCTTATCCGTTCTAGTTTCGAAAAACACAATCAGACTGATCAATTAGGCTAAATACAATCATCTGTTCTATATTTTTATTTAGAAATTTGGGATTTTAGAAATGCATGATGTATTTGAACTGCGACTAGCCTATTATTGTTTAAATTAGTGAGACTGGTCCTTCTTGTTCTCTTGCTGAGCTTATTCCCGTATCGACAAAATGGTCATGCTACCAGATACAGTAATGATCCAATCCTTCCAAATGTAAGCACTAATTTGTTTTGGTGTAGTTTTCCGTATCAAGGGCATTCAGTTGTCGCGTTTCTATAGGGTATCTCTGCCTCGACCACTCAAGGTCACAGAAGCACTGCAACTGTGCTATCCTAGACACACACACCATGAATGTACCATGTGAAACACTTCCGAACACTGATGATCGTGTTTCTGTATATCTATATATCTATAGAAAAGGTTTCTACCTGGACTTGAGAAATGAACTGTTGATACCATGAGCAATGTTTAGGCAAAAGGAAAGTCTAACTTGGAAATATTCAGTTCCATTAACAGTTTTAAATTTGAAATCTTTTAATATTTGTTTAAGTCTCAAGATTGATTCCCAAGATTATATTCTAACAAAAACGTAGAACTACGAGGAAAAATTCTTAACAGAGATTTCTTTTCACATGGTTTTCAACAGCATAACATTAAAATGCAACATTAGTTGAAAAATATATTTCTAAGACCTTAGAACCTTTTTTTTGAGCTTAACCATGTTCCTGAATGTGTTCACAATGAAAAAATAACAGCAGCATTTCATAAGACTTTCGTACTTCACGGTAATTAAAGTGCATGAAAATGCGCTCTACTGTCATCCGACGTCCTCTTATTATTATTATCTAACACACTTAATGCGGCCTCAACCGTTTAACGTAGAAACTTGATTCAAACTGCGTTGCGTAGGTCTTACTTAGGACACCTGTGCTTTGTAATTTTCATCTTTGTAACTTTTATACTTTTTAAACTGTTAATTAAAAACTATTTCATTTTTTTCCCCATAGACTTAACATTGGCCTGATGACATCACAGCAGGGCCATTAAGCAATTAGAATCCTGTGCCAGGTGTCCTCGCCACCTGCAGCAACTGTCAGTTTCTCAGGCTTTAAGACTACAGTCTGGCTCTCTTAAGACTACAGATCCTGTTCAACTGTTTCCTCTGCCTACAACTGTTTCAAAATAAAAGTCCTCACTACAATAAATCACTATTAAATAATTAAACTATTTAAACTACTCAACTATTCAACTGTTCAGCCATTCCAACTGCCAGTTGTCATCAACTCTGACTCCCGCCAACTGTTTCCTCTGTCCAAAACTGTTTCAAAATAAAAGTCCTCGCTGAAATAATTCACTGTTAAATAATTTAACTATTTAAACTACTCAACTATTTAACTGTTCAGCCACAGCAACTGTCAGTTTCTCAGGCTTTAAGACTACAGTCTGGCTCTCTTAAGACTACAGATCCTGTTCAACTGTTTCCTCTGCCTACAACTGTTTCAAAATAAAAGTCCTCACTACAATAAATCACTATTAAATAATTTAACTATTTAAACTACTCAACTATTTAACTGTTCAGCCATTCAAACTGTCAGTTGTCATCAACTATGACTCCCGCCAACTGTTTCCTCTGTCCACAACTGTTTCAGAATAAAAGTCCTCATTAACTAGTTAGCATAGTTAGCATAATTGCTAATGACATTAGTCAAGTTAGCCGAGTAACGTGGTTAGCATAGTTAGCATAACCGCTAACAACATTACTTCAGTTAGCTAAGTAACGTGATTAAAATAGTTAGCATTGTTAGCATAGTTAGCATAACAGCTAAAATCTTTAGCTAAGTTAGTTAAGTAACGTGATTAGCATAGATAGCGTAGTGAGCATTGTTAACATAGTTAGCATAAATGCTAAAACATTAGCTAAGTTAGCTAAGTAACATGGTTAGCTAAATTAGCTAAGGAACACTGTTAGCACACTGTTAACATAGTTAGCTAATAAGTAGCATTAGTCAAATAATTCAACTATTTAAACTACTCAACTATTTAACTGTCCAGTCATTCCAACTGTCATCAACTATGGCTCCCACCAACTTGTTTCCTCAGCCCACAACTGTTTCAAAATAAAAGACCTCACTACAATAATTCACTAATAAATAATTCAACTATTTAAACTATTCAACTATTTAACTGTTCAGCCATTCAAATTGTCAGTTGTCATTAACTATGCCTCCAGTCAACTAAAGTAAACCACCACCTACCTAGCAACCAACATAGCAACAATTGAAATAAAACATCTATGTCAGTTTCTATATCAATCACCATGATTATACTGCCAACCACAATAGTAACTGCTTTATTTAGCCACCTTGATCACCCTAGCAACAACTTAGCAACCACCTCGAGTAGAGGAGACTGGGGCTTGTTGTCACACTTTTTACACTCTTATATATTTCTTGGAATCAATACATCATATATTAAAAAAATGTGTACCAGATGAAAGACCAAAGTCTCAGGTATATATTTTGTATTCATGTCGTTTTCATATTTTGTGTCAGTGCAGAGTTATAAGCAATCAAATAGAAATTGTCACCATGTGACAAGTTGCCCCACCAACAGGTAAGTTATCACACTATATAAGGTAAGATGTCACGCTGGATTTTGCAACTAATAAAACAAGGACAAAATTATTGTTATTTTTTTTTACTTGAAAGTGAATAAATCTTAACATAAAATATTATGCAACATGCATCATGAAACTTATGAAACTTAAACTAGTCCTGGAAGATCTATTAAAAAAACTCAAACAAAACCTGACCTCACTAGTCAGTCCTGGAACATCCAGTCAGAAAATCTCAAACAAAACTTGACCTCAATAGTCAGACTCCTCATCTGAGTCGCAGTTCTGGCATACGTAGATTGATTTGCCAGGGGTGCATTCTTCATGGGCCCATCCTTTGCATATTATGCACTGCACCCAGGTTTCTCCTAGGCGGCTGTTTCCAAATGGCTCTACACAGACCAGGCACAGGGACTCATCTTCTTCCGATGAGGAGTCATCTAGAGTTTTTCTTTTTGTACCTGCCCTCGTTTTCTTCCCTGTGCTTTGCTTCTTTGGTATTTTGGATTTGGTCGCCTTGTCTTTCTTTTTGAATAGGCTTTTTTCCCTTGTGCCTGCCTTTCAGCTTCAAGTGCCTCCTTCACAGGTGTGTCGGTGAGAATAGCAGTTTTTCTCTTCTTTCTCTGCTGGTTAACTTGTTTTCTTCACATGTGACAACTAACCCCCAAATGAATGAGACAAGTTGCCCCAAACTACCATGTTTGCTAATGCTAGCTCTAGCTTAAAGTTAGCTTAAAACAGAACAATGACTGAGGTATGACAGGATGCCTTAATATCTTCTCTAACAAGTCCACATGTATCACTGCTAGGATTTTTATCTGAAAGAAGCTTATTTTAAAAGATATAAAGGTAATATGTTTTACTTTTGGTAGTGGAAAATGGTTAATTGGTGCTCATCTCAACTTACAATGTGTTGTTCTCTTCTCACACAGGACATGAGACCTGACCATGTAAAGGA